TGTCTAAAATATGGCGTAATTAATGACGAATTATATGATAGAATTCGATGCTCAGAACTCAGGAAATGGCATTTCCGGGGTTCAAATTTCAAAAATTTTCCGGGGGGGAATGCCCCCGGACCCCCCTAATTATGCGCGGTTCAGGAGTGCGCCACGGTCAGGGTTTAGGCTGGATCCGCGCCTGATTTATACCTGCAAAGCCACGCGTGATAAACAGTCCTATATCCATAATATATCTCATAACCTGTACTAACTCGAGATAGCTTATATTTTTCTCTGTCTCATGTCGCTGGGTGAAATAGAAAAATAGGAAACTTTGCAACTTACTTGAAAGAAGCTCCTTGATGCACTTGATCCAAATAATGGCTGACCAAAACCAGTCTGAAAGCTAGTGGTAGTCTAGTTATAAAATAAAATTTTAATGTGCTATTTTCTTCACCAACAATTTAACCTCTGTGGGAATAATCTATACATTATATACATTCATTTACCTTATGACGATTCTTCTCATCGTTTAGTAGTTTGCTCATGCGTTCTATCTGAAAAATAAGGAATTGTTAATATTCACTTTTCGCCATAACATTTATACTGAAGACGGATCCAGGCATTCCATCATACACGTCAATGAAAGAGCGCACTGGCACTCAATAGGTTATTAAATGGAACCCACTAGGGTATTCCTTACTTCACTTTCAAAATGACGTATTGTTGCCATGTGTGATTGATTTTCACGTCTCAAGCGTTCACTTTCTTGTTGTGCTGTTTCCATTCTTTTCTGAATGGCTGCTTTCTCCTCATTTTCACGTCGGAAATCATCCTCATACGTCTTTAACTGCAATGAGACAAAATACACTAAAATATTGATGTTTTTGCATGCCTGCCTGTTGATTTTTATTTATGTGGAGGTACTTTTGGCTTGTAATTCAAGTATGTTTTGACGTTTTGAGCGCATATTTTAACTTTCCAGTTAGCTTCAGGGCGGAGTGAGTTAGCCTTAGACTCTATAAGTGCTGCTTCATATGACTTCCTAATTTCTGCATGCAACTATATGTCTGTGTATACTGTATAGTATTTAGACTGTCTGTTTTATTAAAATATTTTTACTATAATCCTGAAGAATTATAATTATATTAATATATCTAATAATCTTGCATATTATATTCCCTTATTAAATTGTTACGGTTATTCTTAAAGAAATAACCCAAAATTCAAGGCATTATTGCTGCGGAACGAGCGAGCCTGAAGCGAGCGAGCGTAGCAGCAACCTAATATATGCAGAGAGGGGGTTTTGAACTAAATTTTATTAAGCGCATGGAATTGTGGTCGTGCGCGCTTTCTATGCGCAGAACACAAATTTTAAACTCGCTCGAATTTTCGAATTTTTATCGAATTTCTAAAGCTTTTTCAAGTCTAATGTTACGCTTACATTTGTTTTGGACTTTGGCCACTGTCAGTTCTATATTTTTATAAAGTTTTGGTTTCTTAGTGTGAAAAATCTGTGTATATAGTCTATATAATGTGGTAAATGCGCCTAGCAGTAAACAGACTTGATATGAAATCTGATCTTAATTTACCTGTATGTCAATGAGACGCACATGTTTTTAAACGCACATGTCAATTTTGAGACACACATGTCAATGAAACGCACATGTTTTTAACCTTAAAAGACAATATAAAGCCTGCAAGAACTACTGGATGACATCTTGGAGCAATCGCACAATTAAAAACTAGGGTACCTGCAAGGTAGGAATTGCTGCGGGCATTAAAAGCAAATAGAACTACAGTAAACAGCACAATCATGAGCTGTGAATGGAACCAGGGGTTAAAGGGCATATCAGAGGTGACAGATCTAAAAAGATCTGTGCTGTTTACTGTAGTTCTATTTGCTTTTAATGCTCGCAGCAATCCCTACCTTGCAGGTACCCTAGTTTTTAATTGTGCGATTGCTCCAAGATGTCATCCAGTAGTTCTTGTAGGCTTTATATTGTCTTTTAAGGTTACAGGACACCCTTTTTGGCGTTTTGCGGAAAATCGCTTCTGCGCGCTCAATATCAGTCCGATTTTCATCAAATTTTCACCAAATGTTCTCCAGTGCATGCAAAATATGATAAAGTTGTAAAATTAACAAGCAATAAAATAATGTAAGAATTATTCAGCAAAATTCTTAAGTCGCGGTACCTTTACGCTTTTGAGTTATGTTCCTGCTGGTTTTAAGTTAAAAAAATGTCATCAACAAATTGCCCCAAGCCTGTGTGTCCTTTTCAACGCCTCTCTCAAATCTGGTTTTATTCCATCGGAGTGGAAATCGGCAAATCTGACCCCCATATATAAAAAAGACTCGAAAGAACCAGCAGATAACTATAGGCCAATCTCGTTATTGCCTATCGTTAGCAAGATCCTGGAACGCTGCGTTTACTCAAGATTTTATGACCATGTTGCTCACCTCATCAGTCCATCCCAACACGGCTTTCTCAGAAATAGATCCTGCGTCACCCAACTCCTGTCTGTCCTCCAGGTCATCGGACAAGATCTAGACAGAAACACTCAGACTGATGTATTGTACCTCGACTTTGCCAAGGCATTCGACTCTGTAGATCACACGATCCTCCTAGCTAAACTTCGTTGTTACGGTGTGACTGGCTCAGCTCTTGATTGGTTTGTTAACTACCTTAATGGTAGGACACAAAGAGTCGTTATGGATGGTGCGACTTCGAAATGGTCTTCCGTTACTTCCGGTGTGCCTCAGGGAAGCATTCTAGGACCCCTGTTGTTTGTAGTATTCATCAACGATCTACCCGACATCGTAGAAGCCCGAACCGGTACAGCTCTGTATGCAGATGACACCAAACTGCACAAAACCATTACCTGTAATCGTGATTGTGCGTCTTTACAACACTCTCTATCCAATCTTAATCTCTGGACTATGGAAAACAACCTCCGCTTCAACGTCTCTAAGTGCAAAGTTCTCACCATCACCAGAAAGAAAAATCCTATCATTCATGACTACACTCTTGGGAGCCAAAACCTGACTCGAGTAGATAGCGAAAAAGATCTTGGAATTACCACCACATCAAAACTTTCTTGGGACATTCACGCGAACACCATCGTCGCGAAGGCCAACAAAATATTAGGCGTACTTAGAAGAACTTGTACCAAATTGATGGACATGAAAATCAGACGAACTTTATATTTATCGTTGGTCAAGTCCCAGCTGTGTTATGCTACAGAGGTATGGTCGCCGGTTAACAGCGTCCAGATTTCAAGACGTGTTGGAAAAGTGCAAAGAAGAGCTACTAGGTGGATAACAATGACAAAGCGAGGAGAACTGTCGTACAGAGAACGGTTATTAGCATTAGATCTGCTACCGTTAACCTATGATCGAGAAGTCAGAGACTTGGTGTATTTCTTCAAATCATTGTTTAGTTACATTGACGTCAATATCGATAACTATGTGTCGTTTGTGGGCCATGGTCGTACTAGACTGAGCCATATGTCAAGATATATCCTTCAAAGTAAACTCTGTAAAACTAATACTTTCCAGTTTTCATACTACAATCGTGTTGTAAAGATTTGGAACACAGTGTGCCAAGAAATCTCACCTGACATTTTCCGTAATCCAAACTCTTTTAAGCACTATCTTAAACGTAGATACTATACATTAATTAGTAATGTTTATGACGTAGACATGGCTTGTACGTGGTCATTAAATCGTGACTGTCCTTGCCATAGGACTTAATACCACAAGTAATATATATGTGTGTGTGTGTGTGTAATTAATTAACTATATCAAAACTAATTACGGGGAGCACCTCGCATGGGACTTTTAGTGTCCCGTTTGTGCTTTTCCGTTTGAGTGTATCTACTAATTTGTGATTTGTGACGTGTGTTTTGTCTTTCGTTTGTCAAGTTTTTATCTTTGTACCTGATATAGTACGTATGTAGATTGCTCAATAAATTCATTAAATAAATAAATAAATAAATAAATAAATAAGTTATATTTATGAAAATATCATTTTTATACAGTAAAATAGTTGTTCTAAAAACTTGTGTTCGGAAATTTTTGTTTATTTCGTCATTCCGCTGATATGGCGATTTCTTTGACGACTGCAATATATTTCTGAATTGTTTGAGTGAATTTTTCGTTCAAACTTGGTCAGATAGTAGAACTAGTCCAATGCCTTCATTGAAACCAATAAAAAAATTTTAGGCAAAACTAACACTCAAAGGTGTTCTGTAACCTTAAATGTTCTTTAATTCTTTAATTAATTATATTATATATTTTTCTGAAATATTTCTTACATTACAGTACCAGAAATATTCTTTATGGTAATGCTGTAGAACTCTGGAAAAAATTGTATAACTTAACAGATTAACTTTTTGTCGCTGTTGTGTTGTACGTATACAGTATTTGAAACAAACTTACTGAATCTCTCATCGTGATCATCATGGCGTCTTTTTCAGCAAGTTGTGCACGGAAATTTTCACATGCTCGTTTCAGGGAAGAAATCTCCTCCTCAGATTCTTGTTGCTTTGAATTCAAGCTCACAACTTGGTTGAAGAAACCAGCGCATTTCTTTTGGAAATCAGAACACTTCTTTGCAGTTTCACTCAATTCATGTTCCACTTTTTGTTTCCCTTCATTTGTTTTTGCTACTTCAGTTGACAATTCGGTTATTCGCTTGAATGCATCTTCAATTTTTGTGAGCAATTCCTGGATCTTCTCTGCTTGCTCTAATATAACCTTCTCTTTCTCTTCCACCATTTTTTCTCGCTCTTTATTTGAAATAGCATTTGCTGCACTAGTAGTTGCATTTTCATCCACCTGAGTCAAAATTATACATTTACAAATAAAATAAGTAAATTTCCATATTGCTATCCACAATACAGTATTAACCCTTAATTTGAAGTGGCATATTTTGCATGCAGTTGTTATATTATACTCTGTTGTCACTCTGCATATCGCCAGACAATTTTACTTGCTATGGGGAATCTAAAGTACTTGTTGTAATGAGCCTGCGTTGAAATGAGCAGGCACCAGGTTGCCAATTCCGACCAATTTTTTTATCTGGCAACCTGAGATGCTGTATTTGCCAAAGGTAGCCCTCGTGGCAACTGAGATAAATTAAAATAATCCCTAAATAATCTAAATCCCGAACATATATCTGTGATCAAGCACTTCATTCTGCTTTTGCACATATTTTCCCAAAAGATATTAGACAACAATATATTAATTAAACAACCATGGAAGGAAGGTCTTGGGCTTGGTGTGCAACAAGCAGCAAAGTCTAGTTATAACGTTGGGTTCAGGCGTCAATTGGGACGCAAGTCCTGTTCCTTTCTCCAGTCACACATGTGTCCTCTGTTTATTGTAGATGTATGCATAATGATGGTACTGTACAGTGACAAATGATTAAATAAAATTATTTATATCCACAGAGAATACTTCATAATTACACATTGATTTGGGGGTAGCTTGATGTTAAATTTGGTGACCAGAACATATTTACTGGTAGTCACTTGGGCAACTAAAGAATTTTTACAATTTCGACCCCTGGAGTCAAACTGTTTTCCCCTGTGTCTTGCTAACATTTTAAGTGGCATAATACACCCAGATATGCCCTACTTTGTTATTTTACTCTGCCTAATGCAAGATGATTTCACTCACAAGGGAGAAAGACATAGTGCTGGGTTAAAAACAGTGTTTCTTATTCTTCTCTGATTTAAAAGGGTTGCTACCAACTTATTAAGTGGTTTGTGATTGGTTGATCATGGCATAAAAGACAATAGATTAAATAGATTTCCCTAGAAATCATATTTAATTAAACACTGAAGAATTGCAGGTAAACTACGTGAAGCGTTCCTCTTTTGAGTTTCTAAATTGATTGCAATTTTCCTCATTACTTTTGCAATTTAAAAAACTCCCTTGCAAATCCCTTGAGGGAATGGATTTGAGGGAATTTGCAATGTTGCAAAGGCAAAAAAAAATTTCCTCAGTTCCTGTTAGAAGTTCTTAACTTCCTGTTACAAGTTCCTAACTTCCTGTTCTGTTCTGGGCGTTGCAATTGGCTAACAAAAATAATCCACCAATAACAACGCTCAGAACAGAACAGGAAGTTAGGAAATTAAACAGGAAGTTGGGAAAATTTAAAATGAAGTTTGGAATATTGCAACAGCCGATAGGAACATTGCAAATTCCCTCAAGGGATTTGGAAAGAGTTTTTCAAATTTGCAAAGCTAATGAGGAAAATTCCAAATGAGTTACGAAGTCAAAAGAGGAACGCTTCACGTAGTTTACCTGTAATAGTTTAGAGACTAGTCACTTTTGTTTCAGAACACCATACACAAAATGTGTTCTATTTAGGTACTTACACACTTAAAAATTGTTTCCTAAAACTACATCAATCCAGCCCTAAATATAGTTTTAGAACTCACAATTATTTTATCCTCAATGGCTTGTCCATCAGGAATATCTCGGTCTACAACGAGCAGTCCTTTTTGCTGATCAACAATTTCATTCAGCCTCTTGTTCTCTTTCAATAACTTTTCTGAGAAAACCTGCTTTGCTTGCATTGACCGTCCAAGTTTCATGTTCTGTTTCGTCAGCTGGTTAACTTTTGCAGCCAGATCATCTTCTTTACTGGCTAATATTGTCTCTAACTCTTTGATATGGTGTTCACATTGAGCAAGATCATCTCGTAAAGTAGTAACCAATTCATAGAGTTCCCGATTTTTCTACAAAACAAGTATATAGTAAATATGTTAACTTTTAAAATCAAAGCACAATACTTTTGTTTTCATGGGGTTATCTGATATTAAATAATACAGTTCTCAAACTACACCCTGGTTGAAATAAGGATGAGTCATGCGAGAGTCACCCAACCTTGGTTTAGCTGTTCCAAACCTAATAAATTATTTGCACCAGATAAACATCTTTATAAGGCATCTTTAAGTTTATGTTTTCATTGTCAGCTATAAATTTTTTATACTCAGTGCATGTACTTGATTCAAATTTAGTTTTTCATGGGCCAAAGCTATATAGATCTGAGGCAGTATAACATAGCCATACAAAGCAGGGAAGAACGGGTCGACAGGCTAGGTACCCCAGTGGTCATTGTCTGATGGCAAGTGAATTTAATTTTCATGTCCAACTTACCCTGAGGGCAGGAGGTCAAAATAGTAAAGTTTCACCACTGGATTTTGGTGTAACCGTGGCACCATGGGCATGCATTCACCCCACTGAAAATGTTCAAAATGGCAGACGTCCAGAGGGGGGGGGGGGG